AATATAATTTTGTTTTATTTATTTGCGTGCTGTTCGGGCAACGTTGTGACAATAAATTCTGTGTTAGAAGACTAAACCGTTGCAGCTTATAAACACTTCATTGGTGAACAATGGCATCCCCCATAGATTACTTCAGAGGGGGGGATATTTCCCATTGTTGCCATGCTTAGTAGGCGAGTTGACAATCGCACATTTTTCATTTCAGCCTATCAAAGTTCACTGCTGAACATAGGGCACCCCATAAACTGACATAGTATTCGCCCTTGGTAGAGTTGACAGCCGGATTTTTTGTATTTGTTATTATCTATATCCTGGTTTGCTGCATGTCGCCTTTTATGACACCTACGGGACGATATGAAGTAGTGGTTAAACTTACAACGCTTTTTACATGGTCAGGCACTCTTCACATGTCCTAAAAATATTTTCATTGCTCTGACATGTAGATTTCTTGTTCTATTTTTCTACAGCACCAAGCACGTGGTTGATCAGCACTTTAAATTGAAACTTACAATTTTATTGGTATCAGCGTCGGCCCAAGTTTATTGTATACTGAGAAATTTACAGAAGCTCGTACTGAGAAATTTACATTGAAGCGTTGAGGCTCAATGTGTAGTGGTAGTAAAGGTAGCCTGAAAATAAGTTACCGTTGTTGATTCCTACCTAAAATTATATTTTTTTTATAGGATCGGGTGACAAACGAGCACACAGTCCACCTGATGGTAAGTGGTTACTGTGACCCATAGACATCTACAGCTATCCTCAATAAAGACTCAAGATGCAGATGCGTTGTCACCCGTGAAGACTAAGATGGAATGCCTCTTTGCTAGTAAAAAGGGTCTCCGGTTCTCTATACTCACCATACGAAACACAGCAGCGTTAAGCTGCTATTTTACGCTGGTTTTCTGTGTTGGGGTGAAGATGTCTGGTTATGAAAGGATATAAGCAACGTTTGGCGATGAAAGAATAAATGAGAATGGTGACGACCTCCTCACCGTATGTGTGGAAAAGAATCTTTTTGGACGAACACTTTCTTTCGCGATAAGAGGATTCACATGTATACATGGGAAAGAGGGGATGATAGAAGCATGATAGATTTTATAATTGTGGATGAAAGAATGAGGAGCGCAGTGGTAGATACAAGGGTTTACCGGGGGTCCAACGTAGGGACGGATTATTACTTGGTCTTATGCCGAATTAATGGTCTATTCAGACGTTGGCGGCATCGGACATCTGTGTCTACCACTGCGTTACAGCGTATAAGAATAGAGAGGTTACAAGATGAAGGTGTGAAAGAGAAGTATAAATGCAGACTGAGGGAAAATATATGTGGGTTGAATGAATTATATATGAATGATTTAGAATTAAAGAATGTATGGAATAATATTAAGAAAGTTTTGGTGGATGCAGCCACCGAAGTATGTGGTGTAAGTAAGAGAAGGAATGAAAGGAAAAGTAATACGTTGTGGTGGGATTATGAGTTACGGATGGAAGTTGAAGCAAAGAAGAGAGCATGGCTAAATTTACTAGCAACTAAAGCTGGCAATTCTGGCGGTATGAATGATGAGATTGAAAGAAAGAAGGCAGACTTTAGACGTATAAATAAGAGAGTAAAAGAAGTTGTTGAAAGGAAAAAGCAAGAAAGGATAGAAAAAAATGATAGAAGGATATCTGATAACTTCCAGGAAAATATTAAAAATGTTCTGGAAGCTCGTAAGAACTGCCAGGGGAAATTTAAAACAGCCTAGAATTAATGCTATACGAGACGAGAATGGCTGTATGTTGAATGATGAAGTTTCGAATTTAAAGAGATGGAAGGAATACTTTGAAAGCGTGTTTAAGAGTGAAGAGTCGTCTGAAATAAGTGAAATAGAAATTCCGGAAGAAGTGGAGAGAGGTAGGGAGATAAGTGTAGATGAAATAATAAAAGCAATGAAAAGCATGATACCAGGTAAGGCAGCCGGATATGATAGAGTATCATTCGAAATGCTAAGGGCTGGTGAGCGTGTGGTTGCAGGCCTGCTGTACACCTTGTTTAATTTATGTTGGGAACTGAAGCGGGTAACGGAAGAATGGTGCAAAGCCGTTATTTTCCCAATATATAAGGGAAAGGGGTCGCAGCAGGACTGTAAAAACTACCGTGGTATCAGCTTGCTTAGCATTGTGGGTAAACTGTATGCTAAGGTGTTAATTGAAAGAGTTATGGAAGAAACTGATGGAAAAATTTGCGATGTGCTAGCTGGATTTAGAAAGGGGATGGAGTGTACGGATCAAGTCTTTTCCATGCGCATGATAGCGGAGAAGTTTTTGGCCAAAAACCAGAAAGTTTTTTGTGCGTTCATGGACTTGGAAAAGGCTTATGACAGAGTGGACAGTAATGTGTTATGGCAAACACTGAACTCATTTGGGTGGAGCGCTGGCTTGATACAGGCATTAAGGTCTCTTTATAGGGACTCTAGTGTTTGTGTCAGGATTAACGGGGTCTACTCGGACTGGTTTGGCATTCATAAAGGTGTCAGACAGGGATGTGTGGCTTCCCCGTGGCTGTTTAACCTATTTATGGACAGTTGTTTGCAAACTTTGAAAGTTGAAGAATGTGGGTTGGGAATGGGTGAGTCAACCGTCAAATGCCTTTTGTACGCCGATGATCAAGTCATATTTGCATCGTCGGCGGCCGAGTTGCAAATGATGGTTACTTTAATAAATTGGTCATTGAAAAAAGGGGTATGAAAGTGAACGCAAGTAAGACGAAAGTGATGGTTTTTGAAAGAGAAGAAAGTAAAACTTTATGTGAAATAAGAATAGAAGGGGAGTTGATTGAGCAAGTGGATGAGTTTGTATATTTGGGATGTTTATTTAGCAGGGATGGTAGATACGATAAGGATATAGAACGACAAGTGAACGCAGGAAATAGAGTGAATGGGGCTCTACACGCTATTATGAGGAGTCAGAATGTGTCAACTAAGGCACGTATGGCAATTCATAATGCTGTGTTAGTCCCTACTTTAATGTATGGTATTGAAAGTTGGGTCTGGCAGAAGAAGCATGAGAGTAGAATAATTTCTGTAGAAATGCGTTCCTTAAGGAGTATGCTAGGGCTGAATCTGAATGACAGGGTGAGAAATAGTGTGATAAGAGAAAAGTGTGGTTTGCAAGATGACGTTGTGACAAGGATTACGAAAGGAATGCTTCGGTGGTTTGGTCATGTAGAAAGAATTAACGAGGAAAGAGTGACAAAGCAAATTTATGTTGCAGAACTGAACGGCAGGGTCGGGAAGGGACGCCCTAGACAAAGGTTTATCGACCAAATCGGCGATTCATTAAAAATGGGCCAGATTAGGAGTACCCTTAACCGACGAGCGTGTATGCGTAGATATATGGATGTAAAAGAGGCGAGAGAGGTGTGTCAGGATCGCGCCAAATGGAAGTCCGTAGTCTCTGCCTACCCCTCTGGGTGACAGGCGTGAGTGTTTATGTATGTATGTATTTTCTGTGAGAGAGTTGTCCTTCCCCGTTCGAGCCGACCCATTCGTGCTACAACCATAATATAGCTGCAGCATGGCTCTACCACGTAGAAAATAATGATTTCCTACAACCTGTCACGTATTATTTGCTTTTGATCGCCATTGGTTTAAATATTTTTGACTTCATGGCCACTCGAAATAAAAAAAAAATACTATTATTTTTAGACCACAAACTTTTTTATGTGTAGGAATTTTAAAAGTTTTGAAGTTTAAAATATTCGTGGATGGATAGATGATTTTTGACGTTACAAAATCCATCAATATCACCATCGTACTGCTCCATAGTCCACTCAGAAATGAGGGAACGCCTGCTCAGCAGTGGAACGTATAAATGCTATTGACTTACAAGTTAAGTAACAACTTTACTGCTGTACGACTGTAAGTTGTACATCCCACTGGAACGTTGATTAGATAACTCATCCGTAGACTAAATGAGTAAAATCTTTCATCCTCTTCATCACTGCCACACTTTTTAAATGTACTATGAATCCAATGATGCTGGAAAAACCCTCTGATTATCAGCACATTTCCGCAAAACGAGGACTTTTTCTTTTTCATTATTTCATATTTATTTTAAAATTGAGATATCTGAAACATTAATTAATCGAGTCGTTTTGATATTAAAGTAACCAATATAGTTTACTGTCAAAAAGGCCCTAGGTCCCTATATACAAGGTCTGTTCCGATGATAAATTAAGGCGGTTTCTTTATTTTCCGTTTATTAATGTAGCCTATAAACGTAGCAAAGAGGCTTGGAGAGATATTATTTAATTTATTACTAGCTGTTCACCGTGAATTCGCTCGCTTGTAATTTAGGGTTTAATTATGTTGCTGGGAACCCTAATTCTTTTTTCTAAAATATAAGTAGCCCAAGTTAATAATAACATCATCTATTTGCCAGTGAAAGTCCCGTCGAAATTGGTGCAGCCGTTTTGAAGATTAGCCGGAACAAACAGACAGACACAAATTTAAAAAATTGTATTTGTTATAAGTACCGTATATACTTTCATATGCATTTTGTAAAAAGCCGTTATTTTGACATTACAAACAGACAATTCAATTTTATTTATTTGTATAGATTTAATACCAATTATATTTTAATAAAACGTAATTATAGCAATAAATCACCAACCTTGATCCAAATACAATTATAATAATCAAAATTATTTCGTCCCACTTCGAGCCATTAATAATTTCCACTCGGAGAAAAACATGAAATGACACAACAAATATTTTGATTTATATGATATGGGTACTTACATCATTAATAATATTATAAATGTGAAATTAGCTCTGTCACTCTCTTACTAGGGCACACTGAAATGATCGGGAATAGAATATTTCGGATTGAGTTACAATAAAACCTTTTTTAGAATTTTAATACTGGCCTCTTAGAATCTTAATGACATTCTTAGAATTAAACAAAATGTTTAAAAACAAAAACTATGTTGGTTTAAAGTTGACACGTCTTAAACAGAAATGGAGCTCACGCGTGAACATTTCTGTGCAATAATTTATCACAATTTTCGTCGCAGCTTATCTCAAGATAAATATCTCAGGAAACTTGTTTCGATTTATGATATTGAAGCACCGAGTCAAACGACAATATACCGTTGGTATGCCGATTTCCGACGCGGTCGTGTGTCGCTTAGCACTGTTCCTTTTGCGGGTCGGCCAAGAACAGCGGTCACGCCTGAAAACATCGCAGCTGTGCGAACTATTATATTAGAAGACCGTCATGTGACATACGAGCAGATTCAGGCTGTTATCAATATCGGAACAACTGCAATTCAGTCAATATTACATAATGAGCTGTGTGTAAGAAAGCTAGTTTCCCGCTGGGTTCCCCACAATTTTTCCGAAGAGCAAAAGGCGGCTCGTGTAGATTGGTGCCGGAATACTCTGCAACGCTTCAACGGAGGGAAGTCAAATGCCGTTTATAATATCGCCTCAGGTGAAGAATCATGGATCTATTGATACGAACCTGAAAGAAAACATCGGTCAGCAGTTTGGGTCTTCGAAGACGAGGTCAAACATTGAAAGTGGTTCGCTCCCGCAGAGTGTCAAAAAAAAATGGTCGCTACGTTTGTCTCAAAAAAGGGGCATGTTGCTACAATTCCTTTACAGGAACGCAGAACGTTTACCGCTAAGTGGTCACGGTTTGTTTGCCAGAAATGATAGCCGAACTCCAAAAAAATAACCAGAAACATCGCATCATCTTACATCACGATTACACGAGCTCCCATACGGCTTGGAAGATAAATGATTTTTTGAAGCAGGAGAACGTTGAGCTGATGAGCCATCCTTCGTACAGTCCTGACCTGAGCAAACGATTTCTTTACATTCCCTAGAATGAAAGATTTATTACGCGGTCAACGGTTTGAAGTCCCTGAAGCAGCTGTGGAAGCGTAAAATCAGCCATTTTGTCAACATCAACTTCAGACTGGAATAAGTTGAACGGAGAATACTTCTAAAAACAATAAAATACAATTTAGCTATACCGTGCATGTGGTTTTTCTTATTCCCGATAATTTCAGAAATTATTGATGAAGTTTGAACCTCAGGAAAGAATATATACTATTTTTTAAATACATTTGTAAGTTCATCTTTTTGGAAGTTGGAAAATATATATATGTTAATACATACTCGTATATGGCTTCTGAAAAAAAAATAAGATAAGGGATACAATAGGGGATATAAGTTAGTATCGGCTCCATACCGTGATTTCATAGTTTTTAAATATTTTAGAAGATAGAAATTTGAATATTGATAAAGTTACGAATATTGATAAGTCATTAGTGCAATAGCAGGGTTTGGACGAGAGCTTCTCCCCACTCGCTGCGGCAAACCAAAGGCACAGTTAGTAACTAACGTAAGTTTAACGGCAACCTTTAACAAAAAAGGCATTTTAAATAAACATAAAGTTGTTAAAAATTGTTTTTTAGTTAATGGTACAACTGAATTTTAGATTCATCATAGTTATAGTTTATATACATTTTATATATAAATATATATATTTTATTTGATTATGTCTATAATTGTATATCTTCATGAGTTTACATACATCTGACGTTTTAATATGTACTTAAGTAATATACATTTTTATTATCTTATTATTTTTATCATAATTTATTTTATATATAATATATATATATATATATATATATACATATTATATATATATTATATTTTTTTATTAACATTTATATCTTATGTATTTTATTTCGATGTGCTACAATTATTTTTGTTATTTTAGTTTAGTATTAAAATATTACCTTTTTATTACTCCTACTTCATTATATCTCTGCATCATCCCAAGGTAGACTGGTAGAGAATGCCTTAGGCATTAAGTCCGCCTATATACCACATGTGTATATGAAGTTTTAAATAAATAAATAAAATAAATGAATTATTTGTAAAATTAAAATGCTACTATGAAAAATGTCACGCCGGGCTTATAACTAGTTTTTCCCTGGGCCCATTTTTAAAAGTAATATTAATAGATTTTTTTTATAGGATAAGGTTGACAAACGAGCACACAGTCCACCTGATGGTAAGTGGTTGCTGTGGCCCATAGACATCTACATCTATCCTCTATTACAAATCAATATGTAGATGCGTTGTCACCCGTGAGGACTAAGATGGAATGCCTCATTTCCAGTAAAAAGGGCCTCCGGCCACCTGCACTCACCAAGCAAAACGCAGAGGTAAACCTCTACTTCACGCTGGTTTTCTGTGAGGTCGTGGTACCACCCCGGTTCAAGCCGGCCCATCCGTGCGACTGCAAATGCTGCCGCGTGGCTCTACCTCTAATTAAAGAAAATTAAAAAATAGTGTTTCTTTTTTTGTTACAACTTGATCGTTCTGTATACTTTAGACTCAGCGCATAGTCATCGTCCGATGAAGCTGTAAAAACCAAAAGCCTAACAGCACAAACAACATCAGAAATCAGTTCATAGCCCACTGAGTGACCTTGATCTTCCTCATACGGCCAGCAACCACGTTTCAGATCCATATATCCGGTAATTTTGCAATAACCAGCATATTTAAAATATATAAATTCTGGAATTTATATATTTTAAATTAAAAATGCGTGGTAGTACATTATTTTAACCGATTTAACTGCGCACGTAAACATTCGTAAGGGTCGATCGGTAGGCAAAAACGTTTTTGCCAATAAATCACATTCAATTTGGGATAATTTCAAATAATAGTAAAAGCCTTATTTAGTCGTATTTTTAAAAACTGCAGTAACGGTATATCATTGTTTATATATTTGAACTTAATTTAAAAATTGGCTACTCTTTGAAAAATAACCATGTATATTAAATACGTTCACGTCACAGATACTTATTATGTATGGATCATTATGCAACACGCACTAGTTGTACACTCTTGTTTTCAAGTTTAGTGATGTACTTATAGTGTAATGAATGATGATATGTAAGAAGAAATTAAAAATAATAAAAACTCCTATACTTATAGCTAAGCAAAATATAATATGTAACTTTCTGAAAGAGCACGTAGTCTAGGGAAAAGAAGATATTCTTAACGTATAGCTAACTAAATCTACTTAGTCTAGGACAAAATTTATTACCGCAACGTTGCTCGAGCGGAACACGGATAACTATAACAAAGTAATCTCGCATAACATTGGAGGCGTTAGGGTGACGAGAAAGCTAATAATAATTTGGCCGTGAACATAGGTTGCAATAATGTTCTGTCTTGATTTACACAACGACAGATAATACTTTGTAAGTTATCATTCGGGTGTGTTGGTGGGAACTTTATTTTTATTTAATAAAGGTGACAAACGAGCACACAGTCCACTTGATAGTAAGTAAATACTATGACACATAGATATCTACATCTATCCTGCATCAAGAATTAAAAATATAAACGCACTTTCACCACTGAGGACGATGATAAAAGGCCTCGTTTCCATTAAAAAGGGTCTCCGGATCTCTACATTAACCATACTAAACACAGCAGCATATGCCATTTTATGCCGGTATTCTATAAGAGCGGGTTCTTCCCCACTCGAGCCGACCCGTTCGTGCTGCAACCATAAAATAGCTTCAGCATTACTCTACCACGTGGCAACTTCACCGCCTGCGAATTGCTGCTTGGACTATTTTTATATTTATATATTTTTCTCCAAAATAATGGAATCCATTATAAACCGCCACTCATGAGGTACCTTGAGGTTTGCCAGCTGATTGGTGACCGCCAGTACGGTTTTCGTCGGGATCGAACAGCTAGTGATCTTCTGGTCTACCTGACTCGTAGATGGTAGATAGTGTAAGTAATGGTTCAAAGTGGATTTTGATACGAAAATGTGGCGCAATTTTGTGTAGTAAATGTCTGCACATGTCTGCAAATGTCTGTGAACTATTAGTGGAAACGATAAAACAAGTTATCCGATGGTAATGTGAACCTCAATTGATTGCGTCTACTAAGAGGCCTTGATATACTGTCATCGTCAACTTTCCGCAAGCACTAGGTTCCATCAAAATCTCACAAAAACTTCGCAATGTGACGCATCAACATATTGTAAAAAAAGTTTTTTTAACAAATTAATTTTAATTACAGTTTCATAATACTTGACACTGGCCTAAGTACAACAGTACGAGTTCATTACCAAAGAAAGAAGTTTTCATTTATTTTGATACTTTTTGAGTTTATAGCGATCAAAACTAAAGCTATTTATATTTTGGCATTCAATAACTCAAATAACCTAGTTTTGATCCCCGCCGGCACCAACATAACTACATATTGATATTCAAGATTTCTTATCGGTGGTGAAGGGACACATCGTAAGGAAAGCTACATGCATGAGGAACAAAAATATTTTAAAGACATATTGTGAACTCTGAAAACACGCAACGGAGCAGCACGCACAACGGACACATCTCCATTACCTGTTTCAGAAATGAGAGAAGGCCTGTGCCTAGTAGGGGGACTAGTCTATAGACTAGTCTATAGAAAACGTCACCGAGTACCGGAACAAAGTTGTGTCTGAAGTCGAGTCTTTGCTGAACAAAGTCTCGGATTGGGGGCGACTAAATCTAGTCCAGTTTAATCCTCAGCAGACACAAGTTTGCGCGTTTACCGCTAAAAAGAAACACTTTGTCGTATCTCCTCAGTTTGAAGGTACTCCCCTTGTTGCCTCAGCCAGTATCGGAATCCTCGGCATCGACATATCGAGTGACGTGCAGTTTGGTGGTCACTTGGAATTTGGACCATTTTGGAGGCCAAATTGGCCTCTAAAAAGCTTGGCGTGCTCAGCAGAGCGGGACAGTTTTTCATGCCGGCTCAACGCCTGCAACTTTACAAGGCGCAGGTTTGGTCTCACATGGAATACTGTTCCCATCTCTGGGCTGGGGCTCCCCAGGCCAGCTCCTTCCACTTGACCGCATCCAGCGCAGAGCGGCTCGAATCGTCGACGACCGAGTCCTTTCCGATCGGCTCGACTCATTGGCGCTGCCAAGAGATGTTGCATCTCTTTGCATTTTCTTTCGCATTTACCACGGGGAGTGCTCTGAGGAATTGTTCGGATTAATCCCAGCCGCCAAATTTCACGAACGCACATCGCGGCAGAACTCCCGTTACCATCCACACCATCTGGATGATTGGCGGTCCACTACTGTGCGATTTAGAAGATTTGGTGTTGCGGTTGTTCATGGGCGGCGGTAGTCACTTAACATCAGGTGAGCCGCATGCTCGTTTGCCCCCTCTCCTATAAAAAAAAAACTGTATATGCCGTAATATTTCATGGCACGAGAACAAAACGTGAACGATTCTCACGAGGACCAATATACTGTTATATGAAGATATATGTACGTGTTGATTTACCGCGTGGTCAGTACTAATATTATAGTAAAGATAAAGAATTACTTTGTGGGGAAACCTAGATGTCTACTAAGTAGAAAAAAAAATCGTGGACATGTGAAAACCACTAATACGCATCGGACGGT